TCAAGTAAAAATGGGTTTACTCAGGAATAGCACAGGAATTGTCATCTGGGATAAGCAAGCTATAGCAAAAGACATGGGGCAAATTCAACCAAGAAAAAGAGGAAGTTTATCTCTCTTATTCTATAGAGAAAAGTAGTAAGTAGGGAAGGATTATTTTAAAAGAAAGTCCATTCGAGAAAAGTGAGCGTTCAAGGTAATGATCCTTTTTCTTTGGCTGGGTTGCTGGGGTACTCCTGGGTTCTTCTAGGAGATGTGAGGTATACCTTTTCCTGTTGGGGACTCTCACTGGAGAATCTCCTGTTGAAGATTTTTTCCTTGGGTTTTGTGATTGACAATTCTTCTCATAATCATCTCCAGTGGTACTGTGTGAGATCTCTTCTTTCTGGCCTGCTGATTCCATTTGAGTGAAGTTTCCTTTTATTAATTTTCACCTAACAGAGCAGTAAAAGGTCATTTTACTGCTCTATCTCTGCTCCCAATCCACTATAGACAAAAAAGAGCCAGAGACAGAGAAAGAGAAAGAGAAATTTTAGAGAGGAATTCCTTTGAGCAAATTCATGATTTTTCCTGACTGAAAGATTTTAGATAACTTATATTTCTTGGCAAACTGCAACTTACAGAATGCACCAACATGTTATAGAATAGTGTCCAACTTATTTACTGTTGGAGCCATATATTAATGCAGGAAAAGTTTTAAAAACTTTCTGAGAACTTATATCTTATCATCTTTACAGTAATGAATCAGGCAGGAATTACTGTTTCTCCTGTAACACTGGTAAGAAAATGGAGGCTTTGCATGTAAGTTCGTTTTTCAAGGTTTCAACAGACAATAAGTGACTTGAACCCTCAGGTTTGAGCCCTGGCAGCCCAACCCCAGAACCTGTGCTTGGACATCTCGGGGCAGCTTTCAGCTCCTCCAGCCTGACTCTTCCCCCATTGCTGTTCTCGCTCTCAGCTGTCACTGCTTGGGCCCCCAGCCTGCTCGTCTCCCTCTTGGGCTGTGTGCTCCCACTGCTGCAACCAAGGAAGGAAGTGTCACTTTTCCAGGCCAAAGCCAACTCTCCCCTTTCATTCAGAAATTACCCTCCCAGTCTTCAGAGACACACAGTTGTGCAATTATATAGGGTTGACTAGTGCTTGTATAACTTTAAGAGTATTGTAAGCATCATGAGATATGTAATCCTCCTAATGACCCCAATACCCTACATGGATCACAGCCTTGTCACGGTGAAGGGACATCACCAGATAGTCAACACCGAAAGAAGACTGATTATATTCTTTGCAGCCCAGATTGGAGGAGTTCTATACAGTCAGCAAAAACAAGATCTAGAGCTGACTGTGGCTCAGACTGTGAGCTCTTTATTGAAAAAAATAAGGCTTAAATTGAAGAAAGTAGCGAAAACTGCTAGTCCATTAGGTATGACCTAAATAAAATCCATTATGATTATACACTGGTTTGGTTTGTGACCCTATGGACTGTAGCCTGCCAGGCTCCTCTGTGCATGGGATTATTCTCCAGGCAAGAATACTAGAGTGGGTTGCCAATTCCTTCTCCAGGGGATCTTCCCAACCCAGAAATTGAACGCAGATCTCCTGCATTGCAGGCAGATTCTTTACTGGCTGTGCTACGAGGGAAGCCCTTGATTATACACTGGAGGTGATAAATAGATTCAAAGGATTAGACTGATAGAATACCTGAAGAACTATGGACAGAGATTATAACATTGTACAGGAGGCAATGACAAGAACAATCCCTCCCCACCTCAAAAAAAGAAATGCAAGATTGCAAAGTGGTTGTCTGAGGAGGCCTTACAATTAGCTGAGAAAAGAAAAGACATGAAAGGCAAGGGAGAAAGGAAAAGATAAACCCAACTGAATGCAGAGTTTCAGAGAATAACAAGGAGAAATAATAAGGCCTTCTTAAGTGAACAATGTGAAGAAATAGAAGAAAACAATAGAATGGTAAAGACTAGAAACCTCTTCAAGAAAATTGGAGGTATTGAGAGAACCATTTCATGCAAAGATGGGCACAATTAAGGATAGAAACAGTAAGGACATAACAGAAGCAGAAGAGATTAAGAAGAGGTGGCAAGAATACACAGAAGACCTACACACAAAAAATTTAATGTCCTAGATAAACACGATGGAGTGATCACTCACCTAGAGTCAGATATCCTAGAGTGTGAAGTCAAGTGGGCCTTAGTAAGCATTACTACGAACAAAGCTAGTGGAGGTGATGGAATTCCAGCTGAACTATTTCAAATGCTAAAGGATGGTGCCATTAAAGTGCTGTACTCAATATATCAGCAAATGTGGAAACCCAGCAGTGGCCCCAGGACTGAAAACAGTCAGTTTTCATTCCAATCCAAAAGAAAGGCAATGCCAAAGAGTGTTCAAACTACTGTCCAGTGCTCTTATTTCACATGCTAGCAAGGTAATGCTCAAAATCCTTCAAGCACACTTCAGCTGTACATGAAATGAAAACTTCCAGATGTACAAACTGGATTTAGAAAAGGGAGCAGAACCAGGGATCATATTGCCAACACCTGTTGGATCATAGAAAAAGCAAGGGAATTCTAAAAAAAAAAAAAATCTACTTCTGCTTCATTGACTATGCTAAAGCCTTTGACTGTGTGGATCATAAAAAACAGTGGAAAATTCTTCAAGAGACATGAATATCAGACCACCTTAAATGCCTCCTGAGGAACCTGTATGCAGTCAAGAAGCAACAGTTAGAACTGGACATGGAACAGTGGACTGGTTCAAAATTGGGAAAGGAGGATGACAAGGCTTTATATTGACACCCTGTTTATTTATTAATAATGTATATGCAGAGTACATCATGCAAAATGCTGGTATAGATGAATCACAAGCTGGAATCAAGACTGCCAGCAGAAATATCAACAGCCTCAGATATGCAGATGATACCACTCTAATGGCAGAAATTGAAGAGGAACTAAAGAGTCTCTTGATGAGGGTGAAAGAGGAGAGTGGAAAAAACTGACTTAAAACTCAACATTCAGAAAACTAAGATCATGGCATCCAGTCGAAGCAGTGACAGATTTTATTTTCATGGGCTCTAAAATCAGTGCAGTTGGTGACTGCAGTCATGAAATTAAAAAAATGCTTGCTTGTTGGAAGAAAAGCTACGACAACCTAGACAACATATTAAAAAGCAGAGACATCGCTTCGCCAATGGCATGTATAGTCAAAGCTATGGTTTTTCGAGTAGTCATGTAGAATGTGAGAGTTGGACCATAAAAAAGACTGAGTGCCAAAAAATTTATGCTTTCAAATTGTGGTGCTGGAGAAGACTCTTGAGAGTCCCTTGTACTGCGAGGAGATCAAACCAGTCAATCTTAAACGAAATCAAACCTGAATATTCATTGGAAGGACTGATGCTGAAGCTGAAGGTCCAATACTTTGGCCACCTGATGCAAAATGCTGACTAGAAAAGACCCTGATGCTGGGAAAGACTGAGGGCAGGGGGAGAGGAGTGATAGAGGATGAAATGGTTAGATAGCATCACTGACTCAACGGACATGCTTTTGAACAAACTCCAGGTGATAGTGAAGGACAAGGAAGCCTCGCATGCTATAGTTGGACACAACTTAGCAACTGAACAACAATGACCTTAATGACAGATTGATCTTTACTTTTCATGTCACCACTTTACAGAAGAGAAACTTGAGGCACAGAGAAATTAATCTTCCCAGTCATCACACAGTTCGTAAAGTTTGGCAACATGTGGACGTTGCTTAGTATTGTCTTTGAGAAAATAAAGGGACAATCCAAGCTCTCTGATGGCTACTGCAGTCTGTCTCTTGAGATCATGAAGCACCCTACCATTGTAATAAAATTATTTAAAGTAGAAGCTAGCCCAGGTGTGAGACTCTGACATATCTAGGCAGATCTGACAACACCCTGGTTGCTTGCCTCTCTTCTCTATCTGCTTAAGAAATGTCCTATAATTTCTGTTAATAAATTAATTCTTACATGCACAACATTGTGTAGGTACCTTAAACTCTGTTGTGTTTGTTTGAGAGAAAGCTGCGTTATCTCAATCTCTTTCTCTCACAGTCCCTCCTCTTCCAGCCCGTTCCTGCTCCCTCTGCCTCCCTGCTCTGTCTGTTCTCCTCAGAGGGTGAGGACACTGATCACCTTCATCTTTCCTTTATTGTCAAGGTCTTCCCTGGGTACGCTCTACATAAATTCAACCCCCAGTGTTCCATAGGCCGTTGCTTGCTCATTTCCTTGTGATACTTTACTACCCTCTCATGTACATATAGGGCTTCTCAGGTGGCTCAGTGTTAAAGAATCTGCCTACCAATGCAGGAGACATGGGTTTGATCCCTGGGTTGGGAAGATCCCCTGGAGTAGTAAGTGGTAATCCACTCCAGTCTTCTTGCCTGGAAAATCCCAAGAACAGAGAACCCTGGCAAGCTACAGTCCATGGGGTGGCAAAGAGTTGGACATGGCTGAGCATGTACAAGCCTTACATATATGTATTTTGGTTTACTTTCTATATTATCTGTTTCCTCCACTGGAATAGAGTACCGTGAGGCAGAGATTTGTATCCATTTTCTTCAGTTTGATACTGAGCCCTTAGAACAGTGTTCAGCACATGGTAGGTTCTCAGTGAATATCTGTACAACTAATGAGTGACCAAATCATTCTGACACTCCAGAAATCATCTCTGATCACTCCTCATCTCCTTCATGTCCCATCTGCATCTACTTATCCCCAAAATGTTAGTGTTTTCAAGGTTCCATCATCAATACTTTGTTTTCTCATTCTGTTCACTGTATGGCTCATGTGGGCAAGGTTGTTTTAGAGTTCATTTAAAGATCAATAAGATAATTTCCATAATTTACCTGTACAGGCCTTGATACAGGGTGGCTAAATATTTACCTTTTAGAAACATGCAAAGCATGGAGAATTGATATATAAGTTCCACAAACAGAAGGCTTATGTGCAGTATGAGAGATGACTTCTTACAGTCTACTGAGTTGTTCCTCTGGGTTACAGGTTCCTGTGGCATCTGGATCTACCAAAATGGATCCCATCTGTTTGGTGGAAAACCGGAAAAATCAACTATTAGTGAATCCCGAAGCACTGAAGATTCTGGACCAGATATCTCAGCCTCTGGTGGTGGTGGCCATTGTAGGGCTATATCGGACAGGAAAGTCCTACCTGATGAACCGCCTGGCAGGACAAAGCCACGGTGAGTGTTGTTCAGGAACATTTGCTGGGAAGCAGTGATAACACAGGCTGCTGACCATCCTCCTCTGTGCCCTGTTAAGGAAGAGCCTAACTCCCCTCACTGAAAACAACTTCTTAGTTCTCACCACTGAATTTGTAACTCCAAACCTGTCTCTGCACAATGTTCCCTCTTTTACCCAGTAATGGAGAGTTCACAGACCCATCAAAATGTCCACCTTATTTGTCCCAATCCCATCCACTGCCATCTTCTCAAGGGTTCATCTTCAAAAATTACTCCCTTCCTTTCTCCTTCATCACTTTTGCCCTAAACCACAGGGTTGTTTCAAATAGCACACAAATGTTATTCAACACAGTCTGTTTTTTCAAAGAGATGTAAAGAAATACAGACAGATGAATTCCTAAAACTCCCATATCTCAATGAGGCTACCATGCATCTTTTTTTGCTTCATTTAATTTCCTATTTCCAAACTTTGGTAAATTATACCCCTGTTTCTCTACTTAATCTTTTCTATTATCTGAACTATAATACATATAAAACAGTACATAAGACATATATATATATATATATATGTGGTATATATATACACACACACACAATAAGGTTGATAAACCTAAAGTGATCATCTGTGTAATCACTGCACAGATCAAGAAATACTTCAACACTCAAAAGCCCAAATCATGCCTTCTCATACCTTTCCTAGATCTCACCAATGTTTTGACTTCCATGGTGCATTCTTTCATTCTTCCGTTTTAAAAATGGCTTTATATTATGTTTCTGTATTTGTTAAGCATTGCTCAAACTTCATACAAAAGGAGTTACACTGTGACAATCATGGGGCTCTTGCTTCTTTAGCTCAACAAGAAGTTTATGAGGGAAATCCAGTTTGTCATACATATCTATAATTCATGTATATTTACCATCATAGAGTATGCTATTGACAGAGAATAGGAAATTTTATTTATTCACTCATTGATGATGAACACTGGTATTATTTGTAGCTCCAACTTTTATGGGTTCAGTTTTGTGAATATTCTTGTATCTATATCCTGGTGCACGTGTACACTAGCTACCCTTGTTGGATATACTCAGAAGTGCCATTGCTGGGTCATGGAGTCCACATGTTTTCAGACTTTCAAGATAATATCAAACAGTTTTTCAAGTTTTATGTGCAATTTATGTGCATATTAGCAGTAACTGGAATTCTCCACAGCATCATAAAAATTTGGTAAGATTTATTTTTTTAGCTTTGGCTGATCTGATGTCTGTACAGTTGCACATTATTTGCCTCACTACAAGTAAGTAGTACTTGTAGATAGACTTCTCCCTGTCTTCCTCTTTCTTTTTGTTTTCAGTCTCCCATTGGCCTCAAATAAAACATTTTATATTTGTCTTTCTTTTAAAGAATTCTTGACAACTAGTCACTTTTTCTTTGCCAGGTTAAAATAATTAATAGGTCATGTTTTTGGGTGATTAAAGATTTGAGAACTCTAAGAAATGATATCAGTCAAGATGTTTCAACAGTCAAGGTGTTTCACAATGTTCCTTTTTATTCTATTCAAGATAACATCAGGTAATAAGGAGGTGATTTCCATTACTAAGGAAATCCTTCACCTGGTTATGTTTTTTTTTCTTTTTTTTTTGTTATGTTTTAAAGAACTTGAATTGTGGCATTACTATCCTAATTAAATGACAGGAAGAACAAAAACAAACAAACAAGTAAAACTGGTGCCCAGTCAAAGTTCACTAGCAGAAGCAGCTCACTACTGTCTCCTTGTTATGATTCTTTGTCTCTCCTTTACCTCACATAACTGACTGTGATGAACTTCAGCTATACCCTGCCTTTCTCCCTGGGGGAACTGGGAGTTCAGACTGCTCTGTATTAATCAGAAAGCAGTCAAATGCCATCACAGTGTAGAAGAGTGCAGATCATCTCAGGTTTTATACCTGCTAGAGCAGAATACACAGAACATGGCAATTGAATGGCCTAAGCCATGCTCCCCTGGGCATTTCATCATATCCATTACTATTCTCAGTTGAAGGGAGCATTGGCATCCGGCAGACAGTCAAAATCTTGGATATAGATAAGACATATTTTGCTTTCTTACCCATATGCGTGTTAGTTGCTCAGTCCTGTCTGACTCTGCAATCCATGGACTGGCCCGTCAGGTTCCTCTGTTCATGGAATTCTCCAAAAAGGGATACTGGAGTGGGTGGTCTTTCCCTTCTCCAGGGGATCTTCCCAACCTAGGGATCTAACCCAGGTCTCCTGCATTGCAGGCAGATTCTTTACCATCTGAGCTAACAGGGAAGCCCATTACTACCTCACATAATCACTTTCTGTTGGTTTAAGCCTTAGAAAGAAGGGCAAACAGTTCTCACAGGTCTTTTCTAATCCCCTGCTATTTTATCCCCACCCAAGTCAATGACTAAAGATTTCATCATTTTTTGAACAAAAACGAGGAAGATACAGGGAAAATGAGGAGGGAAAAGACAATTTAACAAAAGCTAATGTATTAGTTCAGAACCTGGAAGGACACAGATGATCCACTTAACAGGTAACCGGAAATGGAGTGACAATTACAAGGGCCCAAGCAGAGCAAAAGGAACCACTCCATTTTTCTGAAGGAAGCAGCAGAAACAATGGCTAGGGAGCCTTTATAAGTCCTATAGGGTGAAGAGGCAATGAGTGGATTCCAGAATGTGACAGAGACCAGAACAACTGGATGGGGCTAAATGAAAGGAGATGTGACGAAGGCACAGGAGCAGAGGTACTAGGACACCATGGCTCACCAGGGTGGAAGCCAAGGGGACAGTGCCTGACTTCTGATCTCTTGCTGGTACCTCTCACTGCTGGGACTCCATCAGAAAGTGGAGGATATGGAACTGATAAAAATAGAAAGGTTAATAGAGTTTACATTAATTCTGGAATGTGACACAGTATGAGCCATTAATGCTATGAGGTGGTATGGGACAAGAAATATTTCTTGGGAAGGTCCTGAACATGTGTAAACATTTGAACTGACAGTCCTTGCTGAAATGAAAACACATTTCCCCCAGCCATGCACTCACATTTCAACAATTTTACCCAAAGTAACCCATAGGCAGCCTGGACTATTTGGTCTTATTGTGCATTGCATTCTTCTTTCTGTGCAGGTTTTCATCTGGGCTCCACAGTGAGGTCTGAAACCAAAGGCATCTGGATGTGGTGTATGCCCCACCCCTCCAAGGAGAGCTGCACCCTGGTCCTTCTGGACACTGAGGGCCTGGGCAATGTGGAGAAGGTAAGGCAAGGAATCTTCTTTACTCTTTTTTCCTCTTTCTTTTTTAAATTGTGAAAATATGATAACACATTTACAGAAGACCTGGAAAATACAGAAGAAAGCTACATATAGTACTACTATATATTATAATAAATTTTATGTAGATAAGTTAACATTTTAGTTGGAGTTTCAATATCAAAATCTTAAAACTTAATGGAATGAATATACAGAGAAGGAGAAGGATATAGTAGACCTGAAAAGCACTATGAACCAATTCAACATAACTAAGATTTATACAATCTTCACACAACAGTAGAATACAAACTCTATCCAAGTTCCCATAGATTATAAACTAGGAGACACTTTAACTTATCCAGGGATGTAAGATCAGGTGTGAAAGAGTCAGGGTATAAAGGTATTAAAATCATAGTCTGTTGTCTTATCATTGTGGAATTATGTTAGACAGCAGTATCAAAAGATGTGTTAAAATAACCCACATACTTATAAGTACACTGTGACATTTACCAAGAGAGATATTTGACTTAGCCATTGAAATCCTCAATAAAGTTAGGAGACTGAAAAAAACACAGGGGGTGATTGCAGATTAGAAAGCATTTAAATGAGAAATTGATATCAAAATGAGAAATTAATATCAAAGACATTTAAAAATTCCATGGGTTTAGAAATTAAATGGCCACTTTTAAATGATGGGTATATCCAAAAGGCCCAAACAAGGAAAACTAGAAAATATTTGTAATAGAATAAAAATGAAAAGAGAATTTACCAGAATTTGTTACATGCAGCTGAAGCTGCTCAATGCAGTTAAATACAATGTGCAGTCTCGAATAAGGTATGAAAACAAGGGATACAAGCATAAAGTTTTGTGAAATTTGAACAAAATCTGAACTTCAGTTAATAATACTATATCACATTTTAACATGTGATATTTTTTTTCTACTACATAGCATTTCTTTGTATTCTCAGAATTAGATCAGAAGTTTGAAGCTTCATTCAAAAAACTTTTAAAAAAAATAACTAAGATAATAAACTTTTCTGGTGACTCAGACAGTAAAGAATCTGCCTGTACTGGGTTCAATCCCTGGACCCGAAAAATACCCTGGAGAAGGGAATGGCTACCCGCTCCAGTATTCTGGCCTGGAGAATTCCATGGACAGAGGAGCCTGGCAGGCGTGGGGTAGCAAAGAGTAGGACATGACCGGGCAACTAAGCATACAGACTTCTAGTAGTAATACTAGATGCCAAAGTACATGGACCGATATCAAAGTTTTGAGTGAATATAAATTAGAAATCTAGGACTCTATTCATACTAAGTCAAACAAATGGAATCAAAATGTCATAATTTTTAGCCAGACAAAAATTTATATTTTCTAAAATATATATATATAAAATACACATTATGTATAATATATATATATATATACACAAAAGCTTTTCTACTATTCTTGATAAAGACTTTAGAAAGAACATAAAAAAAAAAATGAGAGAGGGACAGAGAAATTGGAAAGCATAAACTAAACCAAATGGGAGCACGGAATATGAAATAGAAAAAGTGAAACAAATAGAGAAAAGTAAAGTATCATCATATGGTCCACTTGTTATTAAATATGACTGTTCATTAGAAACACATCTAGAGCTTTGGAGAAAAAAAGCAATACCTGGGCATTTGTATTTTTCAAAAAATTCCAAGATAATTCTGATATGCATCTGGATTTTAAAAAGGGATTACAGGTTTTTTATTGAATGGTAATTGTACTGATATAGAATTCTGTTATTTTTTTCATTGAGCAATCATGATACAATATGGAGAAGGCAATGGCACCCCACTCCAGTACTCTTGTGCCAGGAAAATCCCATGGATGGAGGAGTCTGGTAGGCTACGGTCCATGGGGTGGCTAAATGTCGGACACGACTGAGCGACTTCAATTTCCTTTTTCACCTTCATGCACTGGAGAAGGAAATGGCAACCCCCTCCTGTGTTCTTGACTGGAGAATCCCAGGGATGGGGGAGCCTGGTGGGCTGCCATCTATGTGGTCGCACAGAGTCGGACATGACTGAAGCGACTTAGCAGCTGTAGCATGATGCAATAGTATTAAGGGAATAATAGTTACATAATCACAATAATAAAAGATGTGTATCAGTTTTCACAATCAATAGCCAGACAAAAAATAAAAGATAATTACAATTGCAAGCGATGATAAAACATGATTAACCTAACAATATAAAATAATCACATACAATTTGGGGGATTAAGTAGAGTGCTGTGGTAGGTGGAAGTGCATACATGCACATGTTTTCATCAGCCCAGCCAGTTTATGCCTTTTCGTTGATGCATTTAATCCATTTACATTTAAAGTAATTATTGATATATGTAATTCTGTTGCCATTTTCTTAATTGTATTGGGTTTATTTTTGTAGATCCTTTTCTTCTCTTGTGTTTCCCTCCTAGAGAAGTTCCTTTAATATTTGTAAAGCTGGATTGTGCCTATCTTTGCACAAAATTTTCCCTTGGTTTCTCTAATTTTTTTGAAGAGATCTCTAGTCTTTCCTACTCTATTGTTTTCCTCTATTTCTTTGCATTGGTCATTTAAGAAGCCTTTCTCATGTTGAGGTTTGACAGGAAACAACAAAATTCTGTAAAGCAATTACCCTTCAATTAAAAAAACAAATAAAAGAAAAGAAACCTTTCTTATCCTTCCTTGCTATTCTTTGGAAGTCTGCATTCAGATCGGTATATATTTCCTTTTCTCCTTTGCCTTTCACTTAAGTGAACAATACAAAGAAATAGAGAAAAGCAATAGAATGGGAAAGACTAGAGATCTCTTCTAGAAAATTAGACATACCAGGAAACATTTCATGCAATGACGGGCATAATAAAGGACAGAAACAGTATGGACATAACAGAAGCAGAAGAGATTAAGAAGAGGTGGCAAGAATACACAGAAGAAATACACAAAAAAGGTCTTCATGACTCAGACAACCACAATGGTGTGGTCGCTCACCTAGAGCCAGACATCCTGGAGTGTGAAGTCAAGTGGATTTTAGGAAGCGTTACTACGAACAAAGCTAGTGGTGGTGATGGAATTCCAGCTGAGCTATTTCAAATCCTAAAGGATGGTGCTATTAAAGTGTTGCACTCAATATATCAGCAAATTTGGAAGACTCAGCAGTGGCCACAGGGCTGGAAAATGTCAGTTTTCATTCCAGTCCCAAAGAAGGGCAATGCCAAAGAATGTTCAAACTACCACACAATTGCACTCATTTCACATGCTAGCAAGGTAATGCTCAAAATCCTTCAAGCTAGGCTTCAACAGTGCATGAACCGTGAACTTCCAGATGTCCAAGCTGAATTTAGAAAACTCAGAGGAACCAAGGATCAAATGTCAACATCTGTTGTATCATAGAAAAAGCAAGGGAATTCCAGAAAAGCATCTACTTTTGTTTCATTGGCTATGCTAAAGTCTTTGACTGTGTGGATCACAACAAACTGTGGAAATATCTTCAAGAGATGGGAATACCATATCACCTTACTTGCCTCCTGAGAAACCTGTATGCAGGACAAGAAGCAACAATTAGTACTAGACATGGAACAATGGACTGGTTCAACTAGGAAGAAGTATGTCAAGGCTGCATATTGTCACCCTGCTTATTTAACTTATATGCAGAGTACATCATGAGAAATGCCAGGCTGGATGAAGCACAAGCTGGAATCAAGATTGCCGGGAGAAATATCAATAATCTCAGGTATGCTGATGATGCCACCCTTATGCCATGGCAGAAAGCAAAGAGGAACTAAATAGCCTCTTGATGAAAGTGAAAGAGGAGAGTGAAAAAGCTGGCTTAAAACTCAGCATTCAAAAAATGAAGATCATGGTATCTGGTCCCATCACTTCAGGGCAAATAGATGGGGAAACAATAGAAACAGTGACAGACTTTATTTTCTTGGGCTCCAAAATCACTGCAGATGGTGACCTCAGCCATGAAGTTAAAAGATGTTTGTTCCTGGAAGGAAATCTGTGACAAACCTAGACAGTGTGTTAAAGAACACAGACATCACTCTGCCGACAAAGGTCCATCTAGTAAAAGCTGTAGTTTTTCCAGTAATCATGTATGGATGTGAGAGTTGGACCATAAAGAAGGCTGAGCACCGAAGAACTGATCCTTTTGACCTGTGGTGCTGGAGAAGACTCTTGAGAATCCCTTGGACTGCAAGATCAAACCAGTCAATCCTAAAGGAAATCAACCCTGAATATTCTTTGGAAGGAATAATGCTCAAGCTGAAGCTTGAAGATTTTGGCCACCTGATGCAAAGAGCTGACTCACTGGAAAAGACCCTGATGAGGGGAAGGATTGAAGGAAGGAGGAGAAGGGGTTGACAGAGGATGAGATGGTTGGATGGCATCACCGATTCAATGGAAACACGAGTTTGAGAAAACTCTGGGAGACAGTGAAGGATAGGGAAGTCTGGCATGCTGCAGTCCATGGGGTTTGCAGAGTTGGACACTATTGAGCAACTGTTGCTGTTGCTGAACAACAAACAAAGCTGGATTGGTGGCGCTGAATTCTCTTAATTTTTAGCTTGTCAGGAAAGCAGTTGAATTCTCCATCATATCTTAATGAGAGTCTTGCTGGGTAAAGTATTCTTGTTTGTTGGTTCTCACCTTTCATCACTTGGCATATATTGTGTCTGCGCAGCAGAACTCCTTGCTGCCCCACTGTGTGTCATGTATCTCTGTAGTATGCCTGTGTACTCAGTCACTAAGTCGTGTCCAACTCTGTGCAACCCTGTGGACTGTAGTCTGCCAGGCTCCTCTGTTCATGGGATTTTCCAGGTAAGAATACTTGAGTGGGTTGCCATTTCCTTCTCCAGGGAACGTTCCTGACTTAGGGATCGAACACACGTCCCCTGCATTGGCAAGCAGGGAGCCCATTTCTGTAGTGTGTATATATATATATAATCAATATATATCATCAACACATATATATATATATATATGTATATATATAATCAATTCCAAAGTCGCTCATGACCTTCCGAATCTCATTTTTAGCCATAACATCTACTACTACATGGGTAAAACTACTTCAGTCAAATAAAATAATCTTGTAATTTCTCTATATGACCACATTTTCTGGCAATTGTGATCAACTTCTGTGAGCCCTTCTACCTGCAGAGTCCCTATAACTACAATCCACATTCTGTCAATTTTTAAAAGCCCAGTTCCTTTCAACCTAATGCCATCATGTCACTATCAGACATTTAATTCTGGCTCTGAGTGCACAGAGTATTTTTTTCTGTCTTTTGGGAGTTGCTACTTTGTCTTTTACACTACAACATTTGATTCCATGCCAGGCTGTTTATCATTGTGGATTGATTTGCATGTTCCCATGTATATCTGCCCCTCAAGAAAGCCATCTGTCTAGGGTGGGCATTATCATGTGGAACTTTATATCCTAGTAAGCAAATAAATATCTTGTGCTATCTAGATGCATAGTTAGCAGTTGATAAGTTTAATTAAATGGTATTTCTATCTCTAATATACATTGTGATCTAGAAAAGCTTGCAAAGCAATCATGGCCCACTTACTATTATACAACTTCTATGTTCCAGGCACTGTATTAAACATTTAAATTACATATAAGATGGCATTCACTTTTGCTAATAGCTAATCACACTGAAGCACTTGAAGGGGAAAATGTCAATACCAGAAAGTTTGAATTTATCATTGTCTTGAAAATTCATTTACCTTACAACTGAGTTACAGTACAGCTGTTATAGTGAATGAACACCTGAATGAGAGCATGCGGAACAGTGTCTCTAACATACATTCTAGGAGGACTCCAAGAATGACCTGTGGATATTTGCCCTGGCTGTGCTCCTGAGCAGCACCTTTATCTACAACGGCATGAACAGCATCAACAATCAGGCCTTGCAGCAGCTGCAGTATCCTTTCAGGAACTGAACCACCATGTTTCATTGAGGTTATGGGAATAGCAATTGACACTGCTTCTTCTTGCCCATGACTTCATTCTTATAGTTGATGAAGATGGAAAATGGGGCAAAAGGGAATGATGATAAAACTTGTTTTGAGGTGAGATCTGGAAACTGTGTTGGAGAGTACTTCTTTTCCTTAGCTAAGATCCCAGCTATGTGACTGAATTAACAGAGCTGATCAGAACCAAATCATCTCCCAGCTCTGACGAAGTAGAGGATTCAGCCAAATTTGTGAGTTTCTTTCCAGACTTTATTTGGACTGTACGGGATTTCACGCTGGAGCTGGAGTTAGACGGGAACTCCATCACTGAAGATGAGTACCTGGAGAATGCCTTGAAGTTGACTCCAGGTATCAGAGTAAGGCCAGGGTGGTAAGAAGCTCAGTAGGAGGTGGGGTCAACCGAGCACTTTGATTTGAAGTTGGATTTGAGGCCATGCTAACGGTACTTGGTGAATGACTGCGAGGTGGCTTCAGTCATTATTGTTACTGGGAAAACCCCAGTGACCAGAGCTTAAGCTCACAGAGGAAATTTAGGATCCAATATTCTACCAAGTGACTTTAGAAAAATTAATACCATGAAGAAGAAAGGCTCATATATTGTGTTTCATATTAAGTGTTTCTCCTCTTCTATTTGAGAAATATAACCCATCAAATTGAAATTAGTAAATACAGAATCGTAAGGTAAGCAAAATAATTAACTTTTAAATACATTTTACACAGTGTATTTTACTGTCTTATATAGAAACATTCTTCACAGACAGACTACTTATACCTTAATTAGTTCCAAGGAAAAGCATTGCTATGTCCTTTCACTGAGACTGTGAAATGTCTTCAAGTGCTTTCGTCTAATCTCACACTCTTTATTCTAGAGCCTTACATAGTATGTCATATTATATAACAAATTAGTTATAACAGATTATAATTAGCAGAGAGAATAAGGAGTGGTACTTAGAAGAAATACTGAGTTTGTTTGTTTAATCATTTATTTACCCTTTCAATAAATATTTATTGAACTGCAGATATATGGCCAGAATCTCTCTGGATGATACTGTCACTTCCAACAGAAAATGATGCAAAAGACTGAAGAGGTGTCCTAGTTTCATTTAGGCCAATCTTACCATGAGATTGTGTATGCTAAAGTAATCTCAAGACATATTTATAGAATGTGCATTTTTTAACTCTGGTTTTGTAAAACTTTACTGCCTTGTGTATCATTTGTCTCCCGTATGGTTTCTTTCCCAGAAATACTGTGAACACCCTTATTTCTACAATTTCTTTACTTTTGAGCTCACATTTCATACCTGAAATGGGGACTGTAAGATCAGAAAAGTATTTCTGACAATGATTTGTATTAGTTTATCTTTCAAGAAAGTGAAGTCGCTCAGTCGTGTCTGACTCTTTGCGACCTCATGGGCTGTAGCCTACCAGGCTTCTCCATCCATGGGATTTTCCAGGCAAGAATACTGGAGTGGGTTGCCATTTCCTTCTCCAGGAGATCTTCCTGACCCAGGGATTGAACCCAGGTCTCCTGCATTGTAAGCAGACGCTTTACCGTCTGAGCCACAAGGGAAGTTCATTGGCAGGTCTGTAGACCTGGTCTGTAGGGTTTCTGCCACGAGCTGTATGAGGTCTTCATTTAATAAATGATTAATCCATGGCATACTATACAATGGCTGAGGAAAACAACCACAGGTTTCTTCAGTTGGGATGGATGCTTCTTCTTCTTCCCCAGGAGTACTTTCTTCACCCTTGGCTCAGTACAAAAACAGAGTTTCCATGGTAGATTACCATAAGACTAAAAAAGATTTACAGGCACAGGAATCAGAGTGATGCAAAAATCCCTGGAAATGAAAGTCCTCAGCCCCCTTACCTGAAGTCTGTCTCTTCTGTGACTGCTCTTTTTCCACTTTTGCAGATGAAGATCCCCAAAATCAAAATTTCAACTTGCCCAGAGAGTGTATCAGGAAGTTTTTTCCCAAACGGAAGTGTTTCATCTTTGACCGTCCTGCAGGCAAGAAAAAACAATTACTCCATCTGGAGGAAATGCCAGATAATCAACTGGATGAGGATTTCCAGAAGCAATCAAAAGATTTCTGCTCATATATCTACACCCATGCAAAGATGAAGACCTTAAAAGAAGGAATCACTGTCACCGGGAACAGTGAGTCTCTTTTGCTACAGCATGTCTCTCTGTGATTCAGTGTGGGTGAGGAATGTGTGGTGGAGTTGAAATTGTGAATATCCTCTGGGATTGCCAATAATTGTGTTTTCTTTTTTTCAGTAATTGTGTCTTCTCTATATAATTTGGAAAAACATATTTATGCCCCACATAGAAGTGCATGTTGCTTCATTAAAATTTCCCTACATGAGGGTTTTTTGAAGACTATCATATCTCATGAAACTGTAGGGCTGGCCAAAATGTTCTTTCAGGTTTTTCAGTAAGATGTTATAGAAAAACCCAAAAAAACTTTTTGGCCATCCCAATATTACATTGAAGGTATGTTAAGGATACAAATATTCATTATGATGAGCCATTCGGTGGATAAGTGTTTCTAGTGAGGATATGCAACTTATTTTGTGAATTCACATGAATCGGAAAATAAGTAGCACACCATGAATCCATGTAAACTCATTGAAAGTCTGAGAAACAAATGTAAATACAGTCTTATAAACAGTGGCTTCATGCACAGGCTACTTGAGCAGTCTCACGGTGCCCTGTGCTGAGACATGCCCTGTCTGTTTTAATGTTTTTGTCACTGTCTGGAAATTCTTGATGACATTTTTACATGGGGCACTGCATTTTCATTTGGAACTAGCACCCACAAAATACACAATTTATTTACATATATAAATTCTCCATATTTTCTACAATGGGCAAAGTGTTCCAGGAGAACTTTGAACATATTGTTGAGGTCATTCAGTTAATATTGTATTGTGATGTATTGAGAACCATAAAAGAGAATGAATAGGAGACACTGGTGTTATTATAAGAAAATTATAGAAGAAAAAGAAGGATATGAAAATCAAGAGGAGAAAGGAAAGAAAAGAAATTTTGAAGCTCAATAAAATTTTAGTGATTTTTAGGATACTGATCTAAGGTTCATAAAATGAATGAAAACATTCTGTTTTCACAACATTGAATTGGCCAAAAAGTTTGTTCGGATTTTTCTGTAGCATCTTATGGGAAAATCTAAACGAACTTTTTGGACAACAAAATATAATATGTTATTCAGGGCTGGGGCCTCTGGTGGAGGCCTATGTAAATGCCATCAACAGTGGATCAGTTCCTTGTTTGGAGAATGCAGTAATAACTTTGGCCCAGCGTGAGAACTCAGCAGCTGTGCAGAAGGCAGCTGACCACTACAGTGACCAGATGGACCAGCGACTGAGTCTCCCCACAGAGACACTCCAGGAACTGCTAGAGGTGCACGCAGCCTGTGAGAAGGAAGCCATTGCAGTCTTCATGGAGCATTCTTTCAAGGATGAAAATCAGGATTTCCAGAAGAAGCTTGTGGTAATGTGGCCTAGAATATATCCTTCCTGATTCCTGTGGTTCTAGAAATGTGCTTTGCTGTTGCTGTTGTTCAGTAGTAGCTCAGTCGTGTCTGACTCTTTCCAGCCCCAGGGACTGCAACACACCAGGCTCTTCTGTCCTCCACTATGTCCTGGAGTTTGCTGAATTTCATGTCCACTGAGTGGGGGATGCCATCCAACCATCTCACCCTCTGCAGAGGATGCGAAATGTTCTTAGGCTCCTTCTATTCACCTATGATTCATATGCTTCTCATTGTAAAAGGAGTTTGGATTGTTGTGAATGACAGGCTACAGTAGCTACAGGCTACTTTCCTTCTTTTTCCCTAAAAACTGGCCTCTTTATTTTCTACTGCAAACAAATTACCCTCTGCTTTGATACTTAAAACAACACACAGTTATTAGCTCACACTTTTTCAGGTCACACTCCAATGCAGGGTGTGTATGGGTGATGTGCTCGGAGTACAGCAACCTGAAAACAAAAAAAGGTTCAAATGGGTTTAGCAATACCACCAGGAGTAATCAGTAAGCAATTTTTCTCAGGATAAGAAAAGAGTTTTATTTGAGCAAAATGAGGGCTAGATACAGATTAAAGAAGAACTTGAATTCTGTTCTGTTATATGACAAAATGTGGGGTTGGGGGGTGGGGGGTGGAGAACCCTTACTATAGGCAAAACCCATAAAACTACCTGTATTATTTGTCAAGAATTAAGATTGTAGCTGGAAAGAAATGAGAGTGCTTGTTAAAGAAGGATTGTTTGGGTCTGAATCTATTGCATATTTACAATGGTACACTTTGAGTTCCTAAGTTTGCAGCTCCCAGCTACTAGCAGACACTCTTGAAAATGGATAGTGACATCCTTGAATTTGATACAGTTCAGAAGATTCAAGTTCTCAAGGACGCAGAAACATGTCTGAAACCACATCCACAATGGCCACCAAGCTCAATTTTTAATTCCTTCCCGACAGTTACTGCATTTTGATTTTTAAATGCATTCTTTTTAAATGATTAGAGCAGATGTACATGTTTGATAGGCCACAAAACAGATTATTGTAGTTAGCATAAAGTTTAATTTAAATCATGTGCAAGCGAGAGTGTCCTCCCCATATGTAAATATGTGAATATATCTTTCATCAGAACTCATATGGGCTCTGGGGAACCCCGTTTCATCTTCAAGCCAGCAATGGTGCATTGTATTCTTCCTTTGTTTCTAATCACTCCAATTCCCTCTTCTGCCACCAACTAGAGAAGACTGCAGGGGATGGGCTTGTGTGATAATGTAATGCCCACTTGGGTAATCTCACTTTCTTAAAGGAGCCTGTGCCGTATGACATAATCTAAATACAGGATCAACGTTCATCATGTTCACAGGTCCAGGGACTATGCAGTGTGAATGCCAAGGGAGAGAATTCTTAGAGTTCATAATCCTGCTTACCATTAGCACCATCACTGAAACCTTGTCTTTCAGTCTACCTTTGTACATCCTGCAAGTTACAAAAGTCTCTCAGAGGAAAACCAGACCAATTGTAATTTATAAGGACAAGTACGAAATTTCTGTTCCTATATTTTCACACAATCAAACCCTCAATGAAACAAGAATTCAGAAAAAGTTCAAAACTCTGTTCAGTGTATACTTCATTCATTATGTTAGGCAGTTGATTTGCTATGTATATATTTTATTTAAAGCCCTTAGTATGCATAAGAAAGCCTACTTCAAATTATAATTGAACTTGCTATTTTTCATTGTTGATGGATTTATCACTATTAATCCTACTACTGTTAGAGGAACAATGAAATTCACACCTGCCAACCCATCATTTCACAGATGTTGAGACTGAGACAAGAACCTTATGGGACTTCTGTAAGTCACACAGAGTTGGTCACACCAGGGCTAAAACTAGTCTCCTGACTCTGTATCTATTATTCTGTGTCTCTGTGCTGATGTTGTCCAATTGCTTCCTACAAGAGGATCACAGTTGGATGTTTTCTTCTAACAACTCCCTTCTATTGAATTTCTCCTTGTTTTTTCAACAGATCATGATTGAGAATAAGAAAGACGATTTCTTGTTGCAAAATGAAGAAGCATCTGACAGATATTGTCAGGCTGAGCTTAAAAAGCTTTCAGAGCCCTTAAAGATGAGTATTTCAGAGGGAACTTTCTTTGTCCCTGGAGGACACCATTGCTACTTAGAAGCAAGGAACAAGCTTGAAGAGAACTATAAACTCATTCCCAGGAAAGGAGTTAAGGTGAGGAGTAAGGGGATTGGGAAAGCACAACAGGTTGGAGACCAAGGGATTTTGCTGGTTTTATGAAATTCTAAGACCATAGCACAACTTTTTTAGAGAAAGGAGAACATGGCAATATCTTTACATTTTCAGCTTTTATATCTATGGTTTCTTAGCTACTCTTCAACAAACCAGAAATATTTCTATCCAAAGACAGGACTTATTATCAAGGATCTAGATGAAAGAGAATATTCCTTTTATTCAAACAGTGTACTAGGTTTTGCAAAACACTAATTCAAAAAGATACCCGCATCCCAGAGTTCATAGCAGCATTATTTACAATAGCCAAGATATGGAAGTAACCTAAATATCCATCAACAGATGAATGGATAAAGAAGATGTGGAGTGTGCATATATATGAACGCTACTTACTCAGTTATTAAAAAAATAAAAGGGTGAAATTTTGCCATTTGTGGCAATATGGATTGACTTCTACTAAGAGAAATAAGTTAAACAGAGAAAGACAAATACTGACGATATCACTTATATTTGAAGTCCAAAACTACAACAAACTAGTAAACATAACAAAAGAAGAAGATTCACAGACACAGAGGACAAATTAGTGGTTACCAGTGTGGAGTGGGGGCAATACAGGAGGAAGGGTGTGAGGTACAAATGATTGGGTGTAAGACAGGCTGTAAAGATGTATTGCAAAGTATAGGGAATATAGCCAATATTTTGTAGTAACTTTAAATGCAATGTAACCTTTAAAAAATTTTAAAAATTGTGTAAACATAAAATAACAAAATTTTAAAAAGAAGTTTCCCTCAAATGGGCTTTCTGCAAAGAATAGGAAAATTAAAGAAAAGCTGCTATTTTCCAGAAGCTTATGGTCTTGCCTGAGAAACGTATAAATAGTCAATGGATGTGGTGGGACAATGGTGGGACATGGTGGGACAATACATTGATAGGGATAAGTGATAGTGATGGTGGTGGTGATGATGATGATGACTGATGTATGTTGAGCACTTGCTACATCTACTGTACTTTAGGTGATTTGGTTGGATTATCAATTTAGTCCTCAAAATAATATAAATTAGATGTTATCATCTTTATTATAAAATTGAGAAATGTGACATGAGGAGAATGTACTAAGTTGCCCAAGATCACACAACTCTCAAGTAAGTAGTGCTTACAGGACAGCTGTTAGGTTCTTGGAAACCATTCAGAACTCAGAATAAAGCTTAAGAATGCTTCCTGGAAGAGGAGGTAAAAGCCACAAGTTGGAGTGTCAGTAAGTGATATCCTAATAAAGAAAGAGGAGATAAGCATTAGAAGAAAAACAATGTGCAGAGACTACAGTTGCAAGCGGTAGAGGATTAGTGTTTGTACAACTGCACATTATTACAGGGTATTTAACCACTGTGGGGTCCCAAGAAGGGTGAAGAACTTATAGGGTCCAATCTGTAGGTTTACTGAACAATAATTTCCATAGTGAGACACTACATCTTTGCTGCCTGATGAGTCCTTGCTTCTTGTTGTTTCCTCAGGCAAACCAGGTCCTCCAGAGCTTCCTGCAGTCACAGGCAGGAGAAGAGGCAGCCATCCTGCAGGCAGACCAGGCCCTCACTGATGCAGACAAGGCCATGGCAGGTACAGGGGAGGACTGAGCTCTCAGAGGGGAAGGTGGTTCCTGTGCTGCCCTTTGGCAGGTGTGGGAGCAAACACTTCCAGAACCAGAGCTTCCTCTTCTTCTGTGGAACCTCTCTGCTACATGTGGAAGTAACCAGGGGAATTTGGGTTTTGTGTACATCCAGCCAGGGCTTCTACATCATATGCTGAAGCAGGTTGTCTGATGTGGTAGCAGGAACAGTCAGACTCCTTCCCACCAATTTAATGTCATCTTAGTCTTTGAGCCCAGGATGGTACAGCTCAGCATAACAGCTATTTCTTTAAAACTCTTGTGAAACAGAGGAACATACCAAGAGACAAGCAGCAGAGATGAAACAGGATCTGCTAACACAGAAACTGAGTGATGAGAAGCAAAAAATGGAGGCCCAAGGGAGAAGCCACAAGGAACATGTAGCCCAACTGAAAGAGAAGTTCATGATGGAAAGAGAAAACCTTCTAAGAGAGCAGGAAGCAGTGTTGGAGCACAAGCTGAAGGTAAGTCTAGTTGGGCATGGGCAGAGTCTGATGGACAAAATGCTAGTTTCTCAATAATAAAGGGATAGAACTTCAACCTTAAGTCAGATCCCAGAGAGAAATCCAAAGACATATGTTTCATGTAAATATCAAAGAGATGTGGATCATGCTGAAGACTCACCTCTGCAAGACTCAGCACTTTCTGTAGTGTTCGGGTTTGGAAGGCAAAGTAACACGGCCCGGGCTCCTGAACTGCTGCTTGTGGTGGTCACAGTGTCATATTTGCCCCACCATGAATACGACTTCGGTCTTAGAGGCGTTAGAATTTTTGGTGCAGCCATCAGAGACCTGGAATAGTTCCGTCTGCTCCTGAAGGCATCAGATTGTGCCTGGTATGATATATGGATGCTGAAAGCTCTAAAATTTGCTACGTTTGTTTCCAGATCTGCCTGATTCATTTTACATACCTAGAGTAAACGTACTCTTTGTTCAAACCTGGAGTTTGATAGTCAGTGTCCTAAAGAGGGTCAGCAGATCTCATTATTTGTGACATGAGTGTGGTCATTCTATCTCAGGGGAACTGAGAAATATTCAGATTCAGCTACATTTCCTCCCAGAGTGCATTCTTAGGGCTGGAACACATTACTGGTATAGTTTTAAGGCCTGCCTGAGGCACAGATCCTCCCTGCCCAGGGAGATGGTGTCGAACTTGGGTTCCCAGCCCAGAGGCACAGACCGGTAGCAGTCTGTGGCCTGTTAGCAACTGGGCCACCCAGCAGGAGGTGAGTGGTGAGCAAGCAAGTGAGTAAAGCTTCATCTGTATTCACAGCCACTCCCCACCACTCACATTACTGCCTGAACTCTGCCTTCTGTCAGATCAGTGGCAGCATCAGTTTCTCAGAGGAGCCTGAACCCTACTGTGAACTGTGCATGCAAGGGATCTAGGCTGCATGTTCCTTATGAGAATCTAATGCCTGATGATCTGAGTTGGAGCTAAGGCTGTGATGCTTGGGAGTGACTGCAAATTCAGATTATCATCAGCAGAGAGGTTTGACTGCACAGAGCCATCATAAATCAATTGGCAGACTCATATCAAAACCCTATTAGTGAGTGGCAAGTGACAATTAAGCTGCATCTAGTGGCAGGTTCTACACTGGCAAGTGAGTTGATGTACTTCAATTATACATCTGGTGGCAGGTTTCAAGTAAGAATCCAACACTTATTTTAGTCCATAGATGGCCCACTGATTATTTTATTTACCACTTCTGTCCCCGCCTCTTTTCCACACTGATCACTAGTCTCAATCACAGTTCTGGTGAGCTCACAAGCTAAGCCTAGCTAAAATAAGTTAAAAAAAAAATGTCACTGGAGAGCTTCTTTGAAAAGGGGGGAAGACCCAATGATGAGACAGCAGAAGACTCTAGGACTGCCAACAAAATGAAAGTTTCATTTAAAAGAAAATACCAAAAGTCCTACTTAAATTACAGGTTCATTGCAATAGGTGGTTCATATTCTCCAACACACTGTGCATAGTATGTAGTGACCAGCTACACACTGAAGCCATGAAACCTTGAAAACTGATTTGCCACATAGAAACCAAGCCTTCTGCACTAAAGGACAAGCTTTAGGAGTTTTTCAAAAGGAACAAGAGGAACGGAAGCAATCGTTGAAGGCCACCACTTCATCAAACGTGTCTGCACTGAAAGCATCGTTCTTAGTGGCTAACCACATGCTAGCGCTAAGAGTTGGTGAAGAGTTGATCCTGCCAACTGCCAAGGATGTTTGTCAGGAACTTTTAGGAGAGGCTGCAGTTCAGAAGGTGGCACGTGCTCCTCTTTCAGCTAGCACTATAACTAGATGAATTGATGAAATAGCAGAGGACATTGAGGCACAATTGTCAGAGGTTAATGAGTCACGGTGGTATGCAATCCAGGCTGACAAGTCTATGAATGTTGACAACAAAGCAACAATTTTGTTTTTGAGGAATCTATTTTTCAGAGGATGTGCATGAGGTTATGTTATGTGTAGTTTTGTTGCCAACCAACACCACAACCACAGAACTATTCAAGTCTTTGAATGATTACATATCAGGACACCTGAATTGGGCATTTGTGTTGGTATGTGCACGGACAGAGAGGCTGCCATGACTGAAAGGCTTTCTCGTTTCACTATTCAGGTCAAAGAGCTCGCTTCTGAATGTGAGTCTATGCACTGTTTTATCCTTAGAGAAGTGCTGGCTAGATGAAAAATGTCACCTGAATGTAAAAACATTTTGCATGATATGATTAAAATAGTCAACCACATTAAAGTATCTGCCCTTAACTCATGTCTGTTTGCCCAGCTCTGTGAGGAAACAGATGAAGAGCACACACATCTCCTCTTATACACAAAAGTGGGATAGCTTTCTAAAGGTAGGTCACTGGCCAGAGTTTTTGAGTTAAGAGAGCCGCTCCAGAGGTTCCTTTCATAAAAACAGTCACCACTGGCAGCACGTTTCAGTTACACAGAATGGGTTGTGACCCAAACTCGCTTACTTGTGTGACATATTGAAACTCAGTCTGTCAACTTCATGAGAGAATGACAACTGTGTTCAAGTCAGCAGATAAAATGGCTGCATTCAAAGTCAAACTGTAAGTATGCAGATGATGAGGAAACACTGGGATTTTTGACATGTTTCAAACATTAGCAGAGATTTTGAAAAAGACTGAGCCAGGGCCTTCTTTCTCCCAACTGGTGTGTGAACACCTATTTCAGCTTTCAAAACAGTTTGAACATCACTTCCCAAACACAAAAGACTCCTAAACTGGAAAGGAAAGGATCCGAGACCCATTTGTGAATAAACCAAATGAATCAACCTTATCCGTGTTAGAAGAGGATGAATTTGCATGCAATCTCAAATGACAGTGGCCTTAAAAGTATGTTTGAGACAGCTTCAAATGTCAAATACTTTCCGGATTCAAGTCAAAGTGAAATATCCTGAGGTTGCAACAAAAGCACTGAAAAGCCTGCCTCCATTTCAACATCCTTTCTTTATGAAGCAGGGTTTTTTGCAGTAACAGCAACTGAAATGAGATTGCCTAGTAGACTGGACATAAGCAACATATTTCAGACATCACTGTCTCCCATCCCCTCAGATGCAACCATCTAGTTGCAGGAAAACAAACTCAGGGCTCCCTCTGATTCTGCTTTATAGTAAGTTGTGTAATTATTTCATTATATATCATGATGTAATAATAATAGGAGTAGTGTGCAAATAAATACAATACACTTGAATCATCCTGAAACCCCCCTACTCTGCTCTGTGGAAATATTGTCTTTCACAAAGTTGGTTCCTGGTGCCTAAAAGTTTGGGGTCACTGGTATAGGTCAATCCTGGGAAGCTATAAACTATGAATACTCTATCTACCCAGCCACATCCAAACCTTTAGAAATATTGGACAAACTCATCAAAAAGCATCTAAGGCCATATAGAAATAGACACAGGTGCTGAGCTCCTGTAGTTGTTAGATATGAAGTTCTGATAATTGGATATTTTCAACAGGGCACTGTCTTCTTTTTACAGATGCAAAAACAACTGCTTACTGAAGGATTTGAAAGGAAAGCCAATGAATTATATATGCAGATACTTCAACTACAAAAGGAAATAGAAAGAACTAAAAATGATAAGCTCCTTGAAATTTTAAGGATTCTTGCAGGAATCAGCCTTACGTTGTTAGCGTTCTCACGGCCTAGACTTTTTTACCGTATATAGATATGATGAATCTCAGGTGAGTTGTTGAATGAGCTGACAATTTCTGTTAAGTACATGAAAAAAAACTTCATGTAAGGGTGGCTGATTCTTCAAGTATATGTCACAGTAGTTTCAATCAAGAAAAGTTTAAAAATACGAAGTTATTATCAAAGAATCAGGGCCTGATATCCAAATATCTAAATAATTTTGATTGACTTGGTCGATTTAAAGGAATGGAAAATGAGTTAAAAGATAAGGATTGATTCATAGCAAAGTTTTAAGCAAAGCATAAAAGAAGGAACAGTCACCTATGATATAGACATGGAGAGAGTTTCTTGAGGCTCGATCTGACAAGCCCTCATAAATCAGCAAGGAAAGGGTAACGACCACATTTTTTAAATGGGTAAACATGTAAGAAGATAATTAAAAATGTTTACCTTTACTGATTATAAAAGATATGCAAAGTATAATTAGGAGATAACTGTGTCACCTCTCAGGGGCCAAGAAGTATAGTTTTGAGAGGACCCTGGCCTGGCAAGGGTTACAGGAAATTGGCAGCATGATATTTGCTAGGAAGAGTGCAGATTGATACAGATGTATACCAAAATTTAAATGCAAATGCTGTTGATACAGCAAATTCTCACTTAGGGATTTATCTTAAACATTTATGTACCCAAGCTGAATAGGGAATGTATGGTGGTACATTTATTGAAGGATTGTTGTAATTCCAAAAGACTGGAAACATCCTTAAAGTCCCCCGATCACATACTAGTGAGGTAAATCCTGAGACACAATTACACAGGAAAGCCCTATATCACTAGAATGAAAAGGTAAACTCTATTTGTGGTAATGTGAGAAAATCTCCAAGATGTATCATAAGCTAAATAAATAAATAAATAAAGATGCAGAAAGTGTGTAAGTTGCATTACTGATTTAAACCATAATCAATATGTGAATATACTTGTCAGGGAATATTTAACAGGAGGATTCCTATGTGCTGTTTCTCATAAATTCTGTGTTCCTTATCAGTTCCTATTCTGAGAACGAGTAGACCTGCATGCAGCTCTCAGGACTGAGATCATGAGAAACGGTATTTGCTTGGATTCCTTTCAGTAACTCCCTTCAGTGACTCTTTTCAGCGTCAGTGACCTTGTATGTATTAGACTATCCATACTAGACTATCCATGTATTAGACTATCCATACACATAAAATTTCATCCTGTGTAATAGCTGAGTAATCATCTTACTAAAGATATATAAGCCTGCACTTCTGCTAATAAAATACCTTTGCTCCATCAGAGGTTGGGTCCTCATGTCTTTCTTTCTTTCTCTCTCTCTCTCCCTCCCTCCAGCTCTCTCTTTCACTTTCTTATCATTGACTCTGGACCACCAGGTTCCAGTCCATTAAAGGACCCCAACATATATTATCTTCTATCTCTGGAAATACAAAAGAAACTGGTATCCATGAGCAAAATAGGAATGGACCTGCATATTTGAGACAAAAAGTACATGGCATATTCTTCTGTGGGTTTTATATTTTGTATGATTTATCACCTAGTCAAACATAATTAGGATTATTAACATTAAATAAGAAATAATAATACATGGGATGGAATAGTTCTTATGATAAGATGCAAGTGTTGAATAGTGTGAGGAATAAAAAGTCAGCTCCACAGGAGGAATGCACTTATTGGAGCAGGAAACGGAAAGCACCAGATGTGCATCACACTGTTGTCATTAAGGCTTTGAACTTCTAGCCCCTAAGTTATTTTTAGGTATAAAGTCTGCTGGAATGTTGTAATCTCCAAAATCCTGCTACACCTTATGAAGACAGTGTATTCAAAGAAGAAGTTTTCTTCAGTTTCAACACAACATTTAAGACTTCTTCTCAGCTGTGGAATGCTGGACCTTGTGCTTAGAATGAACTGGGTGTGGTGTCCCTTCTCTGTGCCCCCGTTGCACCACGTTTCACTCAGAGCACAGGATTTTTATATAATTTTGACATTGCAATGACCTGTTTACATTTTATCTCCTCTACCACCTCATGATCCTGTCTCCTAGATGATCTTCACTGTATACTTAGCTCCCACCACAAAGATCACCACTGAAGCTTCAGGTGTTCAAACAATACACATGAATAAATACATAAGCTCCCACCCATCAGGGTCCCAAATCACCACTTCCTTACTATATTAGTTGCTGCTTAGGGTTCTCAAAATAAAGGGCACAATTTTAGGAACTGGTACTGAAAGAATTCAGGCAGAAAGTACACACACACCCATCCAAACCTGCCACTTTTCTCTGGGAGAGACTGCACAACTCATGTGCTCTGAGTTCCTCCAGATTCTCTCCCAGGAAACTTACCCAGGAATGAAGCTACCTCCTTTGGCTCACAGAACAATGATATTGTTTAAAATAGCAAGAAAAGAGCCAGTAATTGGCAAAATTCACATGTCACCATAACTGTTAACAGTTCAAGGAACGTCTGTTGAAATAAAACTGTGCCTTTGATGTGAGGAGGATCCATTTCTCAATGAACATGACACCCACATGCTGACAAACTGCGGAGTCTATAGGATGACTCTGCTTTCTTAAGGGTTCAGGGTTAATGCTCAATTGCCACTTCTCTGACCAAAGTCTCTGGAATAAGTCCTTCAGCTGGTCCAGGCCCCAAAGACCCTCTGGTGTCATCAGAGGAATATCCTGAATACCAGAAGTCTGGATGGTCTGGTAAAGGGGTCAAGAGATCAGTGAGGAGTTCTGTTTCCCCATCAAATCTCCCCGACACATGTGACAAGTAATGCAAACAAGAAACAGGCATACGCATTTGTGCATGAAGTGATCATGACTTAGAGAAAGGAAGGGGTCAGGATTGAGGGAAAGGACTCTTAGGAAAGAGTGAAAGGAACCCGCACTGCTCTGATGTTCAGTGCCAAGTGGCCGTCTGTTGGAATAAAGTTGTACACATCTTAAGACAAGGCTCCAGGTGAAAGGCCTCTTCCAGACTTCATAATTAATAAATATTTGTTAAATTACTGATGGAATCAGAGATCTACCCAAGTACTTGTTGAACAATTCTGGAGGAAGACAGCATCACAATCATTTTTTCACACAGTACTTAGTACAGGAAGAGTGAGCTTCTCTGGACATTTCTACATCCCTTTCCCCTTCTTAGACTTGTGTATGGTATATTCACAAGGGTCTCTTGCCTGTTGACTGGGTATTACACAGTCCTCCCAGAATGTATCTATTAAGGAAATTCTTTAGTGTTACAGATGGATTGTCAGAACTCATTAGAAATGCAAATAGAAAATCCAACTCTTTGAGACCCTATGGACTATGGCCTGCCACACTCCTCTGTCCATGGGATTCTCCAGGCAAGAGCACTGGACACGACTTAGTGACTGAATAACAACAACAACAGCAGTGCTTTTATTCTGCTCCCAAGAAAACAAGGTCTGCAAAGACACATATATGCCCTTAGGACTTGTAAGCTAGTATTTTAACCAAAATATTCATCCTTGCTCCCATCACATGGGAGCAATAATACCTCTTCGTGATGATCAAAGTCAATTGTCATGATAAACTACTCCTGTGCCTGCTGCTTTATTGTCAAAAGATGCCCAGAGAAAACAGGCAGGATCTATAGCTTCAGGTTTAAGATGCCTTTAGTGTGCCCCCTCAATGAAACACTCCCTCTCTAGAAACACAGGCCTAGATTTACAAGGTCAAGGAGCACAAATTTCCCCAAAGAAGTCACTGGGAGTGATACTGTGTGCCACTGGCCTCCAAACCCATGTATTATGCCTACTGGGTACCCAGCATCCTATAATGATTCTGGGCTTAAGTTACTGACCACATCCAGAACAATGGCATCCCATCCTCTCAAGAGTTATGGTCAAATTGGCATCTCAATTGCCTCCTGAGAGTGTTCCACAATTCTACTGGGCAAGCTAGTTCGGAACTGTGTGATTGTGGTAGAACCAGTGGAATTCATGTCACATGATCTTAAGCTCATTCTGTATTGTGTGAGTGGCCAAACACATCCCCAAGAGCTGAAAAAAGGCTAGTCTTCAAAAGGACGCTGAAATCCTGCTGTGATCAGAGCCAGCATAACAAGGAGTAACTACAAAGCTATAGCTTTAAAAGAGATTCACACATTCTCCTCCAAATTCCTCAGCATTAGCGTCCCTTTGTTTGTTTATCATCATAAGGCACATTTAAAGGGCACAAATTAGGGAGTGGAATTCAGCTGGGTATATTGAACAGTTGGGAACACTTTGAAAAAGAAAATGTTTGTGCCTAACTAGAGTTTGTCCTTGTCTGGTAATGGCTGTAGTTTCTATTCCCCTCTTTCGAAGTAAGAACCAAGACAAAACAGAATAGCGTTAATTGATAGACGTCCACACCACTTCTCATGCAAGAATTAGATAGACTAGTTTCAGATATCACAATTGTGATAATACAACTGTAATATGTAATACAATTACATTGTACAATACAAATACAATTACATTGTAATACAATTGTGATACGACTATTGGCTCCGATATTCTTAAAAAGTAGTGGAGATGAGTGAGAAGGTATCCATTCCTGGTGAAGAACATGCGGATCCTAAAAATTTAGAAGAATGGACAACACAGAATGAGATTAACGGTGGATGAATATACAGACACTTGGAGCCTTTGATTTGTATTAGATTCTGTTTTCTGTTTCTGTATAGCGCTAATAGACACCTTCCCCCAAAACTCTGACCCAACTGTATTAAAGTCTGCGGACTTTGATCATATGAATTCTCTGACACTTCAAAAATGATAAAAGGAACCTTAAGCCAGAAATAACTTTTTCCTTTAAAAATGAGATCTAAAGAGAGTTTAGCTTGAACACTATCAGTTATTCCTTTACCTTGTGTTGCAGATACACTGAGGCTGAACTTCCTCAGGTGATACACCTCCACCCCAGCTTGCAAGCAGAGTGGCATACTTATTATAGCCAAGTAAGCAATCAGGGTCTACCCCCTT